AGGTCCTACACTTTACAATGATCAGAATTTTATACAAAAATGGATTCTTGTAATCATCCGTTAACATTTACAGTCCAAACCATAAAGCAAACGGAGAGAAGGCAATATGGAACAAATTAATCATAATAGACAATTCAAAGCCTGCTTAGTAGTACTTTGACAGTTGTTTTATTGGAAAATCCCAAAATAAGGGGGGGAAAATCATATTGTAAACCTCAATTTCAAATCACCCTAATAACACCACATGAATTCACACATAATAAGAGGACAGACTCGAGCACAGTTTATCCAAATTAACCTCTAAAATACAAAACACCATATACAGAGCATCAGCAGATCGAATCCAATCATTTTTTTTCTTATTCATTTTCAATTCTAGTAACAAAACGCAGAGTAGAAGTGTGATCGATATTGATACAGCATAACAAAATGTAAAAATTCCAAATTGTGGCAAATTATATCTAAATTGTCTTAACTTTTGAATTACAGTAAAGCTAGATCACAGACTATGCATTTCCGAAGAGCAAGTGTTTTCTTTTAATGGAATATAGATTTTGTTTGAAATTGAATTTTTATCGCAAATGTCTTGATTATGATTAAACTTATAAGTGTGATGTAAGTCACGGTTATAATAACTTTATCTATAATAAATTAAATATTGGATTTGTTATTGTAACAAACCAAGATTTTAAAAATATCTCATTGGAATTTGGTTTACAGACTTATGGGGTATTTGTCTGAGGTTTATGAAAATTAGCTTATAAGCAACAAGTTTTATATGCTAATTTTAGCTTATAAACATTTGAAATTAAGCAATTACGTTGTTAGTTAAAGTACTTATAAATGACTGATAAGTAGTTGACGTGTTTGGTAAAATGAGCTTATAAGTATATTTTATTTATAAAATGGACTAAAAAATGTACTACATTAAACAATGGTATACTATGAAATTTTAAAATTAAACAGGATAATATGGTAATAATTGATCAAACTAGCTTATAAGCAGAGGCTTATAAACAAAAAAAAAAAAAAAACAAAAAATATACTTTCCCCAACTTACTTTTTTTTTTGCTTATAAGCTCAAAAAAGTTATAAAAACATGTCAACTTAATTTTAGAGCTTATAAATTAGTTTGATCAGTTTATAAGCTTAGACAAATACCCCTTAATGATGAGAGAATGATTCTCTCTCACTATTAATCATTCCACACAAAGGCAAATAATCTTTTATACGTAGAGCACCTTATGAAAAGTAAAATAATACCTATTTTACCCTGATCGTTGATCCAACGAAACATTTATATTATCAAATTACTCTCTAATTTCAATTACGCTTAGTGGCTTGGTGTCATGATGTGAGACTACTCTTCAATCTAGAATTTCAAATCTCACCAACAATGAACTGCCCAATCTAGAAATTATAAATTCCAAGATAAGCAGAGACAACACAATAGAAGCGAATTCCAACTTTTCCTAGAAAAAGTGTTATCGAAACGTAAAAGTGGATTCAGATGGACACAGATCGTTTAGTATGAAGTTCCACAGTTTGCCCACAAACCCTTTGTTAAGTAAAGCCATGACGAAACTGCCCTACAAATTAATATCATATTCCAGCACTTCAACTTGAGATAACCGCTAACATGTTTTAGTCACTTCTGGGGCTGGCTCAGCAACGGATTGCTTTCGAAGAAATTAGCGGGTCGTAGCTCGAACCACCATGAATAGTTGGCATCACTGGGAAAATCTTCTTGACATGGAACGTGATGGAACCCGACTGTATACCAATCACTATCTCTGTTTCAATCTCTCTGTTCCTGCACATACGTCAATAATGTATTCTAATCGTGTCAAATCTTAATAAAAGAATTTAACATTTTTATATTATAATAATGAGGATTTTTTAGTAAACCCGTGAGTTTGAACTTTTTTTTTATTGAGTATCGGTCGGTTTTGAAAATGGAAAATATAGTACATCGGGAGTAATGTACTGAATTTGTGTATGGATAATGGACAAAATCTAACCGTCTATTAATTTAACTGAATATTAATCACGGTCAAGATTGTGTCAGTCATTCGATGCACAAATTCAGGTATTACTTCTGATGACTGTAACATTACTCTTTAAAAATACGTATACCAAAATCCTGTGTGCTCGACTTTTTTATAGTGAGCATTGCTGATTTCAAAATATGATATATTAACCTCTAATGTATACCCTTTTTGTAACGAGCGTTCATTGATTTCGAAAAATTTTATCAATTCAACCTTAAATTTATCAATAATTCATTAATTTAACCTTTAAAAAATATAGTAAACTCTTAATATTATTAAGAGATTTTATTGATTAAATTTGGATAAATAGTAAAACATCATTTCCTTAATAATTTAAATAGAAATAACTAAGCTCTATCAAAATGGGATTAGGGTTATATTTCCGAAATCAGTGGTACCAACAAATACTACTATAAAAAGGTCAAACACACGAGATTTTACTTAAAAAAAAACCTGGATAAAAAATTGCATCATTTATGATACTTGTGGATCCTGCGGCTCCAGACGGCTAAGCCGTCATCTCCTCGACTCCATCAGCATACAATCCGCCAGCATCTCTCCGAACTTGTTATAGGCAGTTCCCAAACTTGATACTTGGTGTAAGCAGCTCTAATCTGTGGATAATCATCGTCAGACAAAGGGAAGCAACTGGTTGTCGGGAATCAGCCGATAACCCACATGATTCCCTAGTTTGTCTTCTTATTAGGATTAACAATAACAGCTCGTTGGCTTTAAGCCTAGCCGAACCCTAGCCTCGGCTTCTCTTTGACGGTTCTCTAAGACCATCCAGTAACTTTTCTTGGAGAGATGTTAATGTTTGTTACTGTGCCGTTGTAGTTTGGATTTGATGAAAGAATTGCCGTTACCGTCAACATCGAGGTCGAGGTAGTAGGTCACGTAGTGGTCGTGGTTGACGGCAACGACGTTATCTGCCACTAAGGTGCCATAAACGTTTTTGTTATTTGGTCGTTAATTGTATATGACGTGGCTTTATTTCCAGGATGCCGGTTAAATGCACCTGGAAAGCCAAAAAGAGTTAATTAAATAAAGTCGAACTATATCAGAAAGAAGATTGACAAGTACATTTATCTGAGAACAGTATGCAAAGCAAAGAAAACATAAAAAATCTTGAATCTTTACTTACCCCAACTTTGATGGTGCCACTATTTTGAAACTCCCAATCAAGAACATGTCATAATTTCCAACAGTAGCCACCATCCTCACGACCAAATTTATTTCAGGTTCCCCACTTCTTATCTGTAAAAACAATCAATCAATTCATATCAGCATCACAACAAAATCTCAAAAATCAAATACGTAAAAATGTGGAAGGCAGATGCTAAAATTAAAGCTACATACCACTTTTCAGGAACATTAATTTCTGTATGTCTCCAAGACTACATCCCATCATACCTCTCAAAATGCAGATAACATTGGAAATTGCTGTGCCTGCCCATCTGCCCGGCTACCTACCATCCATATACTTGGCATTAGCAGGGCAGTCGATCATTGGCTGGAGGGTGCGGCTGCTCGCCCGAACCCGAATTCACCTACATCCATGAACGTCTTAATACCATTCACTTGTGGATCCATATATGGAACAAATGTCTCTGATACATGACCTCTGTAAGTATGCGACGAAATTTGTTAAATTTGGCATCAAATAAGAAGCTGTTGATATAAATTCCTGCCCGGCATCAAAACTTACATGTAAAACCCTACCCCATTTCACTTTGTGGCCTTAATGGTCAACCTGGTGTTGGTTAGATTACATATGATAGAATCAGGCTTCCCCTTTGGGGATTCTAAAGTCAGTACCCTCAGCTTTAGGCAAAGGGACTCTAAGTCGTGTATCAATGTACACTGTAATTTTCATTTTATCAACATCAACCAGCATACTGATTCCCCCAAGGGCCTGGCAAAGACATTAACTGATCCCCCTCGGTAGAAGCATTGAACTCTAAGAGCTCTTTTTTGTAACAGTTCCCCATACCAACCAACCGTAAATGGTATGCAAGAAACTTCAGACAAATTTAAGCCCTTGGATCATTTCGTTCTTGAATTTGGGATAACTCAAAGGCAATTTGCAGCTTTGAAGAGCTCATAAAGGCCACGGAGGTAACCATGACCTGTGTAGATGTGGTGTGACTTGATTGAGTCACGTGCCCAGTCTACAACGAGTTCATGTCTCGCCCCCACCTCGAACAACCACCTTGGATTGACGAGGAAGATTAGTTTTACCTTGTTTACTTGCAGATAACCACTTGAGAACAAATTTTGTCTGGTTCCTCGAGATCAACAGAAGGAAGGTAGATAAGGGAAGGGCCACCAAGTTTAGATTTCTGAATTATGAGCTTTATTTGGTTGATTTCAGTGGAATTGAGAGGGTCTAAAGGATGATAAAGGCTAGATGTGAAGCAATATTGCAGGAAAAAAGCTAGAACCAGAAATGAAATACTCATTGATTCTTCTTTACCAACTCCACGTTAGTGGAGTCCTGATGCTGCTTTCAGACAACTAACTGTTTAACATTATATAGTACTTACAAGAGGCAACTAACAAAATTGCTTCATTAAAGAATAACATGTCCCACATGGTGTCTGGATTATATATATTACAAACTATAAAGGGCTCTCATTGCTTTATAGTCCTTTTCTTGCAGTGAGAGCAAGAATAATGCACTTGCCTTTGCTTTCAGCTGATAAATAAGGGTCATAATTGTAGCATATGACATTGAGTCTCCTATTTGAAATTCAGCTACTCAGATTAAAGCAAATTTCCTCATGAGGATTGGTGCAAATTTATATTAAACAATCCCTACCGCATCAACAATTCAAAATAATGAAACAGTCCAAAGAAAAGCAATTTCAACTTCCAAGTACAGACGAATCACAGCAATTCTGGCAATAAAGATTTATAATTTCTCAGAATGTTAAGGGAAAGAGTAGAAAAAGGTCATTATTACTCATATTTCGTGTTCTTCAAGTACAATCCACTAAATCAGTTTTAAACCCTTTAGTAGTAATGTAGATCTTGACATAGTGAGATATGGTTTGACTTTGATCATAAAGAAACTAGCTAGTCACAACTTGAACACCACAGGAAATTACAGTTTTTTATCTCCAGAAGCACAACAATACAAGCAATTAAATGACTCATAAACATGACATGAATTATCTAATTAACCATATTTGCTCTCACAGTTCTTTCATGCTCACTTTAACTTATTCTTATAGTCCCCCAACTCTCAAGACCATGATCAAGTTCCAGCAGAACTATAAAACAAAGCAGACTTGCATACAATTAAAGCATACGGAAAGAAGCTATTTCATAATCCCGTTGGAATTGTCTAATATTGAGTTGGCACTCTTAGACTTAACGGATTTGCTTTGTCTTTGAGCAAATGTTTCTGCAACCACCAGAGGGAAAGCAATGGTAGCATCACAGTGTACCTGGTTGTATTAAATCAAAAGAAGGGCAAGTTTTTAGAATCTTGTATATTTATACTTTACTATTATATCATTAATACGCTTAAACAAATTGAAAATTGGGATATGAGTGTCACTAGTAACAGAAGTTGGACATACCTTAACAGTTTTAGCATTGGCTCGTATTTTCCCCCAAGATACAGCCTCATCAGGACGGGCTCCAGAGTCACTCCCATCAAACTCTTGTGCAGTATTAATGTAGACGGCAAAATCTGCACCATTGCGCATCATATTTGCGTTGCATATGTGATGCTTAGGCAGTCCTCCTCCTAGAATTACCATACCTGTTTTCCTCGGACTGGCATTGACAGCTTCATCATTCATGGCTCTGACATCTATTGATTCAGCTACCAATGTTAGTAACAATACATCAAATTTTAACTTCAATTAATCGAGCTGAAGCAAGAAGCGCCCACCTTGCGTTATGTCAACAACCAAACCTGGGGGGCTGCGAAAGGAGTGAAAGTATAACATATCCCCTATTGAGCCATCGGTAATGGCAGGACAGAACACTGGGATGTTATTCTGGAAATAATTCCACAAACAACAACAATTTAAAACACTATTCACATCTGTACAAGGATGTTACAGTCCCTTTGGATTTATTTGGAGAATGTATTAACAAAATGTAGTCATCGACTGTGTAAATTATTTATGCTGTTTTCAGGTTCTGTTTTCTACGTCATATATTATGCATTCTGAAGAGAAAATTCTGAACTGCTTAATGACTTGAAATTTCAGCCTAATTTTTTAGATTTTCTCAGTATAGAAACGCTACAAGCCAGCATAACATTGGTTATGTTAATTATCATTAAAATTAATTGAGATGTTCAACAACACAATTAAAAAGAAAAACATGAATGATTGAACGCCACTGATTATGATGAAAAGGAGGATTTTGAGCTGAAAATCAAAATTATGTCAAAGTTGAAGATCACTTGCCTTGTATGCCCAGTAAAGGTATGAACTCTCATCATTGATTTCTTTTCCTAAGCGAGCAATAATCTTAGATGATGTCCAAATTACTTTCTGAGAAACCATAAAGAAAAGTGTATTAATTTATGAGGTTTGACCTCTTAAGAAAAAATTTGGTGGGTTTGTGTGTGGTGTCAGGTGTGCACATGATAAGTAAGTAGAAAAGGTAGAAAAATAAAAAATAAATTTAAGAGAATATACGTCTTGAATTTGTTCCTTCATCATCTGGTCAAAAATTTGTTGAATCCAATCTTCAAATTTGCAGTAGTTGTCATTAGGCGCCAACAAATTACCTATGCGGTTCAATCCTTTCGACCTTAACTGAGCTCCAGCCAGGGCAAAATCACCTTTATAAGTTGGTGCAAGACATTTTATGAAATCTTCTTCTATGCCACCAGCTGTTGTCACCATTACATCAACCTGCAATCTTTTCAGAAAGATTAATAAAATGGAAGGAGGCAAACTACAAAGTAATTTGTGGAGAGTGAGAATGTGTTGATATTGAAATGAAAGCAAGTCTTTCGAGTAAAACATTATTTCCGAATATTTAAAGTAAACGTCAAAAGAATTAACTACTTTTCTTTCTAGATATAAAGTTGTGCGACAAGATTTGACTTCAAACAACTAATATATAAGTGTGTGTGAACTGAGACTGACCATGTGGTGCTGAGCAAGATAGCAAATAGTTTCTCTAACACCAGAAGAAATGAGATTGGACGTAAAACCCAGAAATATTTTGCATGTCACTGACTCTCTATAAGCAGGATCCTTCTCTTTCTCACTGCACTCTTCTGTTATACTTTCATCAGAAAGCCTCCAATCAAGCTGCAGTATTATACTCATGAACATTAATAGATTTTCTTTCAACAAATTAAATTATTATAGCTAGAGTTAAAAAGTACTGACCATCTGATTAACTATATCAAATGCATCTCCAAGATTTGAAGCTTGAAAGCCAGTAGAGACCATGGATTTGAGAAGCTGAGAGTAGTCCACTCCTTGGTTGAAATCATAACCCATTATCTTAATGCTTTTTCCCTCCAGATTTTTTGATCGCTTAAAAACAGCCAAGTGTGCAGATTCCAGACGCCCGTTCTTGTTTGATCCCATCTTTACCAAGCTTCTTTCTTCTTGCAAAAGTACTGCACATAATCAGCTAGAATATATCAGTTTAATATAAACAGAAAAATACTATCCAAAGGTTGCTAATATTAAAATGAAACAGCAAGTATAAGTAAAACCAAGAAGAAAAATGATGAACCTGAGATTATTGTGGCAATCTCTTTACCTAACAATCGTTAATTTCTAATAAACTTATTGAATGTGTGAGTACCAAAACAATAGCTGCATATATATAGCAACATATTGTTGTTGCGATTTCTTGCACTAACGATAAATACGCAAATCTTCAAGTAAGCTCGCGTAAGGGTCTGTGAGAGACCAAAAATATGATGTTGAACATGAGAAAAATAATAATAATGCAAGTAAATAAATAAAGAGTAGATTTAAGGAATTTTTAAATTAATTCAGATGCAAAGTACAAATCCTAAATCCATTATTATCTTATTGCTTTTTTTGTGTTGTGAGTGTAAAAGAGCTATTTGCTCTCGAACGAGGCAATTGATTTTAGCTATTGGCGAAAAATGAAATTCTAGATTTCTCAATTGCATGAGAGACCCCTTTTATATTGTTGTATAAGCGAAGATACTCATGAAGTATTTCTCTCATGGCATGACATGTGGCTTGACAAACTGTTCTTCTTGAAGACTTACTAGTGAAGCAGCCATTTTATGAGATCATGAGATGATATACGAATTAGACGACAGATCAGTCCTAAACCTTACTAGTGAAACAACTTATATTAACCTTGTAAATAAAGCAATCTCTTCACAATGTGACACGTAGTCTAGACAGTTACACAGTTATAAAACACGTGTTACATACTCATAAGACACGTGATGCTAATCCATGCTGCTTTTGTTCACCACCTTACACATGTTCATATATGCCAAGCTAAGAGAGCGAATAAAGGCATCCCTGCATTTGCAAACGTGATCAAAATCAATTAAAAAACTAAAATGGATAAAAACAATTTATCATGGTCCAATGTGACAGGATTACGATTTTATTTGTGAAAGATAATCCAGATTTGATTCTGAGTCACGATTTCATTCAAATTGATGTATTGTCACATCACTTATTTTTAATATTCAACTATTTTTAATTTGGGATAATTATGAAAACCCATATATGTTTGATATTTATAACACCAGCTACTTTGAAAAATGACACTCTAACCCTCATGTTCGACTAAGTTGTGACTTGTCAAGAAAAATTGATATGAATGGTCTTAATGTGCATTTTAGCCTTTCTTTTCCCCCCATTATTTCCCTACATTTTCTCACTTAAGCCAGTTAATTTAACAACTATAAAAATATTCTTCCGAGAATTAATTGAAGTGTACGTAAATTAGTTCGAACACCTTGATTAAAAAAAAAATAAACTATAAAAATCATAAAACTTCGTTCTAATCTAAGAGTCTGTTTGCTTGGGCTTCTTTACTCTACTGACCAAAAGAGCATTTTTAATCTTATAAGCACTTTTGAAATTTTTTTTTTTTATTATTATGTTGTTTGGTTGCATTTAAAAAGTGCTCATAATCTTATAAAAAAACCTATTTTATGACTTATGGGGAAAGCATAAGCTCTCTTTGGGCTTCTTTAAAGTGTTGAAATTTCAAAAATATCTTTATTATATTTAATAGAATTAACTTGATCTGTTCTTATATATTAAATGTCTTTTTGGTAAATTAATATTTAAAAGCTCTTTTACATTTTCATAACTAAACAACTAACAATTTTTTTACTAAAGCTCTACTCTTATAAACACTACTCTAATAAGCTTTTATTTCATAAGCTCTACTCGAGAAGCCATATCAAATGGACCCAAAGAAAACCCATCATTATTTCCTGAACATCCTAACTCATTCCATTATTTCCCCACATTTTTGTTGAACAACCATTCCATTTTTAAAATTAACAATTGACTTTAATGAAAATATGGGTTAAGTTCTAATAGTCCAAACCAATCGGTGGTCATGTAAATAACTAAATATTCTGGGGTTTATATAGCGTTTTAATTTTCACACCTTCCCTCACAATTCACACAATTTTGTATGCTAAAAAGACTTAAAATGGAAATGTAACACTTGGCATTTTTTATGTTTGCTAAAATAAAATAAACATAAAATATTTGAATTTATTTACAATACGTATAAAAAAATATATATGAATTAATTAAAACACGTGTAAATTAAGTTAAACACTTTCAACCATATAAAAAAAAAAAAAACATTTTTTCTTCTATTCCCTCGTTAATTAACTTATTAATTTTTTTTCTAAGTGATGGATCAGAAGTTACGTGAGTGGGGGAATGGTTGGGTTGGTTAAAAGAAAAAGCTGCACCGGTCGGTGCCGAATGGATTTCAAACACAAAATAGCACAAATTGAGTCAGCTTCACATTTTGGAAATTGCATGCATTGATATATTATATTTAAATATTTAATTTTATCTTCTTTGAATTCATCACGTTAGTCAGGACATTCTTGGTTGGCTCCAAGATCAATAGAATGAGGATCCGGGATTCTCGAGACAACAATATCTGATTTCTTTAGATATTAAATGCTTAATAATAGCAAGAAAAACGTGTATATAGAATTTTATATTAATTGATTTGTGTTTGGGTGCTTATCCGTGTTTCACGTAGTAATGCATGATCGGATGAAGGAGCGAGTACATATATCTGAGTTTAATTTACATTTACTATATACATTATGTATGTTTAGGCAAAATCAACATCCTTAACCTTTTTGTCGTTTTTAGTAATAGATTAATGGTGTAAGTTATTGTGGCTCATTATTATTTTTAATTTCCCAGTTACTTGTAATTTCCCATCAATTATCAGTGGTAACTTTCCTATATACAACTTTTTTGATGGATAAGAAAAGATACAGATTATGTAAAAATTAAAGATTACATAAAGGGAGAACATGTCACTAGTCTACAAGAAAGTCTGTAATTGTCCATTGATACATGGAATAAAGTCTTGGATAGTCTAGAACAAATCCCAATTGTCTCTTATGGTATTTGGAAATTGATTACTATGGCTGGATGTATGTTCGTGGGCTTCCGCTTTTGATTTATTAAATTGATGATTTATTGCTTACAAATAGTTCTTAAAAGAAATTGATGCACATAATATATAATTGGGTGAACATATCATCATTTAACCAGTGTTTTAAAACCCGAGCTGGATCGGGACCTGGGGCCTTTACCAGGCCAAGTTACTATTTTGACTGTTCATGGCACAAATTTAGGATATTGATCAGCAAGTAATTGGTGGCTGTGATGTTGGGGTTTTGAAGAGGAATGGCTGGTGAGTCGAAAGGTGGCGATGGAGGTGATTTCCGATGAGTGAAACGACCAAAAATCGTAAAAATCGATAAGCAGCAACAGAGAGTTGTTGCCAACAATTAGTGAGGCGAACGAGGGTCAGGTTAGATGGGTTTTGGTCAGGAGGCTGAGGGGGCATATTGTCGACGCCGAAAATAAGCCTATTTGGCATGGGTTGTCGATGCCGGCAATGGTGTTTTTACCCAGATCTTTTGTTAGATTTTAAAACTACAGACACTGATAAGTATTTACTAAGGGCGTTTTTGTTGGACATGAAACCTTTTGGATCGACGGTTTATCCTAGACTCGGTCACCTGACTGAGTCATGGAATAGTTTGAGTTTAAAAACATTGCATTTAACCACACTATTCAAACACTAATTATCGAAAGCCCTTAATTTATTGGAGACTGAAATGGGTACAAAATGGATCAAAGGACAATGTGGGTCATGTTGACATCCTTAGGGGGTTTAACTTTGAGCACTGGATTGCTCTCAAAGAAATTGGAAGGTCTCAGCTCAAATCCACCCTTCAATGTGGGCATCAATGGAAAATCTTCTTGATAAGGCACGTGATGAAAACCCAATGTGTACCATGTCACTATGTCCTTATTTTCTATACTTCTATTCCTGCATTTACATATTCACAAATTACAAATTTTAACCAAAAAAAAGAAAGTGTAAATGCCTTTTCCCACCCAAGGTTTGCCTTAATGACTTTCTCACCCAAAAAGTTTCAATCTACTATATTCTCATCCAAAATTTATATTATGTTATCACCCAAAGCTGATTCAGGCGGCGAAAATTATCTTCGTCACTACCATTTGAACCTCCGATCTCCTCTCCACAAAACCTCTCTCACTTTGACACCGCATTTTTGCCGATTGTCGGCCACAACAAAGTTAGAGCTTTCTATTCTTAGTTGATTTCAAATTGATTCTGATGGCAAATATTTAATCGATCACCACCATTTGATCTACTAACATCCACTCTACAAAATCCCGCTTACCCTGACTCTTGGTAACTCGTCAAAGGCCAGTTGAGAAAATAAATTGTATTTTGGGTATTAACGGAATATAAACTTTAGGTGGGAAAGTGTATTTTGAAATTTTTTAGGTAGGAAAGGTCATTAAGGCAAACCTTGGGTGGGAAAAGTTTACTCAAAAAGAAAATGCTACAAATCTACCATGCTATTGAATAGATTTATTCAATGAAGCTAAAATCAACTTACCTATTGCTCCATACGGCTAAATTGTCATCCCCACGGCTTTGATCAGTGTAAAGGCCCCCGGCCCATTTTTCAGATTTGTTATATGCCGTGACCCACACATTATAGTTGGTGAACTCCGCCCTGATTTGCGGATAATCATCGTACGATAAAAGGGGACTCGTGACTCCCTCAGGGATCAGACGGTAGCCAACAAGGTTCCCCATTTTGGTCTTCTTATTTGGGTTCACAAATAGTAAATCAGCTGACTCTGATCCAAGCTTGACCCTTCCATCAGACTCCGTTTTAGCCGTTTGACTATCAACCTTCCAGTAGCTCTTTCTAGGTGATCTCTGATCTTTAATTTTGACGGTCCCCAATTTGGACTTGACAAAGGAATTGGCATCATCGTCCACGTCAAGATCAAGACGGTAGTTAAGGAAATGATCATGGTGTACACCTATTGTATTTTGTGCCAGCAATGTACCGTAAACATCCTCCTCTATTTGTTCTTTATGAGTGTA